GAGGAAAAGAAAAACGCCTCTTAATTTGGGCCCTGTGTGCAGAGAAAGGTCTTTTGGGGCGGGTCAGAAGATGGCTATCAGAGTGCTTAGTACAGAGTCTTCCCCAGTGGTCCAGTGGTTAAGACTGCCTTCCAATGCAGGGGGTGCAGGTTCGATCCCTGGTCTGGGAACTAAGATCCCACACACCGCGAGGTGTGGCCAAAAACAAACAAACAAACAAAAAAGAGTGCCTAGCACCTTGGGGAGATCTGACAAGGAAGCTAGATGTGAAGCCTGTTATCCAGGGGAGCAAGCACACGTTTTCCTTCCCTCCTGAGCCTCTGGTCTCCTTTATTAGGACACCCACAAAGGTGCCAATGGTGATACTATCTCTTCACCATAAATTCAGACCAGACAGTGAAAGGTCGTAAGTGTTTGTTTTCTGTCACAACCTGTCAGCTGCAGATGGATAATAACTTGAGAAAAGCCCACACCTCGCCCAGGTGTGAGGCCAGACAGAGAAGGCTCCTGAAGGTACAAGGCAGAATCTTGCACTGCCCAGAGAGAGGCGGGCGGCATTCTCTGGGCAGCAAAGCCAAGTGCCTGGCTCTTAACATGGTAATCCCTGTGGCTGAATAGGTCAGGATTCAGAGCTCGGGCAGAAATGACCTCAGTCCCCGTCAGTCCCACATGTGATCTGGGGAGGCCAGCTGATCACGGCACCACGGCGGCTGTCTGGGCTCCCCACACCGCAAACCAGAGCACGCAAGGGAGCACGGCAAATAGTTCTATTATTTCAGGATGTTTACAGGCTGACGCTTGCTGAGGAAATGTCCACACGTGAGCAAGTCATATATTTTTTAAAACCTCTTATCTAAACACAGGCATGGGCAGTCACAGAAACCTACCACTGGGTTAATTCATTCAAAATGCATTTCCCGAGTGGCTACGGCACCACTGGGCAGGCGCTCACCATGCCTCTGCCCTGTCCCAGACATGGCACTGGGAATCCCCAACAGAGCACAGAAGTAGACTCCAGCATCAAAGCGTTCGCCGTCCAGTGGGAGATTTAAAACGGAGGGTAACAGCTGGTTAAAAGTGGGAGTGGGGCAGAGGGGGTGGTGCTCCAGATTAAAGTAGGCTTAAAAGGACTACCAACCAAATGCAGCATACAGACTTTGCTTGGATCCTGATTTAAACAAACCAGTGATGAAGGTCACTTCTGAGACAATGAAGGAAATCTGAATATGCACAGATGCGACCAAAGAATTACTGTTAATTCTGCTACATGCAGTAACAGCCATGTGGTCATGAAAGAACATTCTTTTCAAAATAGATATATGCTGGATTATATAGGGGCAAAATGACATGATATCAGAGATTTCCTTTTAAATATTTCAGGAATAAAAAATAGAAGGGAAGAAAAAGAGAGAAAGAGAGAGATGAAGCCAGCCTGGCATGATCTTGGCTGTTGAAGCTGGATAATGAGTATTTGGGGCTCATTATACTATGCTCTCTATTTTTGTGTTTGAAAATGTTCTTTTTTTTTTTTAACTGTGCGGCTTGCAGAATCTTGGTTCCCCAATCAGGGATCGAACCCAGGCCCTTGCAGTGAAAGCACTGAGTCCTAACTGGACCACCAGGGAATTCCCTGAAAATGTTCATGATATTTTTAAACAGAGGACTGCAACACATCATGGTAGATATCCTAATGAAGACTGGTATAAAAGGCAAAAGGGGACCTCCCTTGTGGTGCAGTGGATAAGAACCTGCCTGCCAATGCAGGGGACACAGGTTCAATCCCTGGTCCGGGAAGATCCCACATGCCACGGAATAAGGAAGCCCATATAGCACAACTACTGAGCCTGCGCTCTAGAGCCTGCACGCCACAATTACTGAAGCCCGCGCACCTAGAGCCCGTGCTCCGCAACAAGAGAAGCCACTGCAAGAGTAGCCCCCGCTCGCCACAACCAGAGAAAGCCCACAAGCATCAACAAATACCGAACGCAGCCAAAATAATAAAAATTAAATTAAATCTTTAAAAAAATAAAATAAAAGGCAAAGGGGATATAGAGCAAAGAGCAAGGAGAATTTGTGAGAACCAGAAAATAAACCTGCCAAGTTTACGAGTGTTTTAAATACCATTTCATAGTGGGGTAGGAAGACATGTTCACAAATAATTACAATACAAGATGCGGAATCATAAGCACAGCAGGCGGCTGCACACACCAAGCCTCTAGAGTCCAGAGGATGGCCACACGGTTTTTTCCTGTTTCCCTTAGTGTTTAATTCACCACACAGGCCTCACTCATGCAGAAGGAGGCCAGAGCCCTAGCTTGGTCACTCACTAGCTGTGTGATTGGGGGAAAGTTCCTGAGCCTCAGTTTCCTCATCTGTAAAATGGGAATAATCCCACCTACTTCTTCAGAGGGCTAAAGTGGGGATCAAGTGATACAAAGAATGAAAAACCCCAGCATGATGTACAGTGTTTCCTTTCTTGGCTCTTTAAGCAACAGAGACCCTCTAGCCCTGAGAGGGCCTCAAAGATTGGCAATTTTCAGCCCAAATCTTGCACCCATACCCCAGCCCTCCCACCAGGGTCAAGGCTCTCCCCCAAGAAGGCAGGACCTCCCCCCCCACCACGCCCCCCTTAGTAGAGAGTGAAAGGAAGGCCCATGACTGGGAGGCACACCCAGATGGGGGTGTGGACATGGGTGGAGAGAATAGAGACACATCCCAATCACAGGCAGAGAGAGATTACTCAGTGTTCCTCTGCTCCTTACAGTTCCTGGGAATAGGCCTCCAACGACCAAGCTACAACCAACCTTAGTCCTTAAGCTGATTTATACTAAAGTGTAACTGGTTGGTAGTAGGCTAATCACGATTTTCTTTCAGAAGAGAAGGATGAGCAGAAAGGCAGCCCTGGGCCTGAAGAAGGAAGGAAGCAGTGATTTCATTTTTTATAAACATAAGCTCGAACTATGGATTTCAATCACCTTACAATCACAATTAGTATACTCAACACCTGCCCTTCCCCCAAAACACAAAATAAAACTAGAATTGGTCCTAAGGTAGAGGTTATTTCAAATAACAGTCCTCCTGGGACTTCCCTGATGGTCCAGCGGCTAAAACTCTGCGCTCCCAATGCAGGGGGCCCAGGTCAGGGAACTAGATCCCGCATGCAGGAACTAAAAGATCCCGCATGCCGCGACGAAGATCCTGTGTGCCGCAACTAAGACCCGGCACAGCCAGATAAATAAAATAAATATTAAACAAAAAACACGACACATATAACAGTCTTTCTAAACCATCCCAGAAGCCAACTCTCCGGCGCAGGGCCAAGTCAATGGCAGAGGCAGACTTCCCCCTCAAATAGCACCCAAACACCAACAGTCAGTCCTTCCCCATCACAGCAAGACCAACACCGCCATCACCCCTGATGGAGGACAGGGTGGGCAAGGGGTCTGTAGGTTGAACAACCTGGGCTAACCTGGGTCAGTTCAAGTGCGTTGCTAAGGAAGCACCCACAGGACCTTTGGATGGAATCTTTTCAGAGGCCAGGAGCCTGCAACACAGCACACCGCTCTCCACAGCCATGGGGCAGCAGGAAGGGCACTGGACTGAGCTCTGGCAGAGTCTGGTTCAAATCCCGGCTCAGCCGCTTTCTATGTGACCTTGGGCACTTACCCTACCTGAGTCTGTTTCCCCATCTCTAAAATGAGGAGGGCATAACTCTGAGTTTTTTGAGAGTTACTGTGAAATTCTCAGTAGGCACTTAATAAACCTGTCTTCACTCTGTCTGATGGCCCGTTCTTACTGCAATAAGAGCTTCCAGAACATCAGGTGGGACTACCCTGGAGAACTGAGCCCCCCTCCCCCACCTTGGATCCACTTCCCCTGGAAAAAGGGACGGAACAGAGCTGGCCTGGGGGCCCAGGGGACCCCGGTGCCAGAGCACCCACGCAAGCAAATTGAGAGCCAACCGGCTGCTGGCTTTTTTTCCCACGGGGCCTGCCCAGAAGGGGGCTGGTTAGTGGCCTCATCCTTCACAGAAACCACTGAGGACTGTAGTGAGTAGGCAAGACTAACAGCAAGAGGTCCCCACACTGCTTAAGGTCCCAGCAGGGCCCGATGCGCCTCCAGATAAAAGCTCTTTGGGCTTTAAGAACCCAGGCTTTAGAATTAAAACAATATGGAAAGAGACACAAGTTTACTCTGGTTTCAACAGCCTCCTCCTCATCCAGTAAAGGCCATTCCCAGTTCTGTCGAGAGGCTGGTCTAGGATAAAGTTAACCCCACCTGCCCCGGCCTGGAAGCCAAGTCAGCGGCGCTTCTACCCAGGGCCAGTCGGCAAAGGCAAGGCGGGAGCCTGGGACGCCCCGACAGGGGTGCTCCCGGGCCTGGGGAGAGCGCAGGCTGCTGGAGGCGCGAGGCTCAGAAAGGACAGCGCCACGTCCCCTCGGGCCACCGCCACCGTCCCAGACCCAGTCCCCGCCCGCAGGCGGCCAGGCCACCGACATCTGGCCCAACTTAACTTCCTGTTGTTAAGGAGGGAGGGGAACCGGGCGGGGGTTGGTAGGCGGGCGGGGGGGGGCGCCCAGTGAAAAGCCGGGGAAGAACGTGACCGGTGAGGAGCCCAAATCGTGGGAAGATAAGTTTAGGGATGATCTTCTGCCCCGGCGGCAGGCGGTACTGATGGCGCGTCGCGCCCACTCCATGTCGACGTTTGGGTATTCTCTAGGCTTAGAATTGAAGAATTTGGGTGTTGGGGGGCGGAGTAAGAGGTAGTTCGAGGTACTGGGTTCTAATGGATTCGGAGAGCGATAGGAGTACCCCGGCCTCCCTGGGCAGTGCCACCTGCTCGCTGGGCGCCCCGTGAGGTGGGTCTGAGGCGGGAGATGCTGCGGCGCACCTGACCCTCTCCGGCGCGGGCCAGGGCACGGAGTCCAGGCTCGGCCGCCACGGTCCCCGCCCGCCCTCCTCAGAGCCCCGCGCTCCCCTTACCCTCCCCCCGGTCTTACCGAGAGCCGCGTCGGCCGCCGAGCCTCGGGTGAGCCCTTGTCTTTGCCTAGGGCCGTGTGCGCAGCGGTCTGCAACCGGAGGCCGCCTGCGAAGCTGTGAGCTACCTAGGCGGCCCCGCGCAGGCTTAGCCGGGCGAGCGCCTGCGGTTCTGCGCCGCGCCGCCAAGGGGACGGGGAGCCACCCCCATCGGCGGCGCGGCCAATGACAGGTCAACCGGGGGGCGCATCCCCGCCCCCAGCCTGAGGCCCATAGCCAATGGCAGCGCGGCGCGGAGCCACCCACGCTCCTCGCCCGCCCCGCCCCTTTGGAGCCAGCTGTCACCGCGGCTGCAGCGGGCGCACGTGGGCTGCAGCCAAGCCCGAGGGTAGGGAGCAGCCCTGCGCTCCTACCCAGACCAGTGCAGGTCTGAGACCAGCAGAGGGCCGATGGGGGCGAGGCTTGGTGTTGCTGCTAGATGAAAACCCCGGTGCTGGTATCCAAATGTCAATGTAGGGAGGCAAGGGCTGGGCTTCACGCTCCTTGGCCTAGACAGCTGGAAAGCAAGCCTCAGCGTCCCCTTTTGGACTTGGGGGAGCAGCATAGCACTTCCCTTACTGGCTGTGGACCTCCCTTCTTGCTTTGCTCCTTGACCACCCTGGGGTTCAGCAAACCCCTGCTAGAGGTTAGTCCCTTCCCCTCACCTGGACTGGCCTTGCGTAGAATAAAACTGGTGGGAAGTGGGGCAGTGGTGCAGACCACCTGTTACCTTCGTCACATCACCCAAGCACCCTCTTTTCTTGGCTGTCAAATGGCTACCTTAATCTCTGCTCTGCCCACCCTCACTGGTTGCCCACAGCTCCAGAGAGCACCATTCACAGTGTGAACAGTGTGAGGGGTGTGAATCCGCTTTGTGAACTGCAAATTCTGCAAACACCTTGGGCAGACTGCTCTGGTAGCAGTGATCATGAAACAGGGATCCCACAGACAGGAGCTGTGTCTTACTCACCTCTGGGGCCCAGGGGCCTGACATGGGCTTGGCCCAATATAAATGTTCTTGCAACAGAGCTGACCCAGCGGGAGGAGAACAGGCAGGCTTGGGCAGTGAGAAAACAGTATTGTGGCTCCAGGCTGCTGGAATTTCCACAGCATCAGACCACCCTCTGGAGAAACTACATTCCCTTGCCAGGCAAGTACAAATAAAGCAGTTTGCCCCCATCAAACCTGGGGCTTATTTTTTTTCCATACTCCTTACCATGTGATCCTACGTGAGGCCTTTTGGGTTTTCCCAGAGATTGTCCTCCTTGGTTGCTCTCTTAGCATCTTCAGAGTTCAATCGACTTCCTAAACATGAACTTTCAGCAAAAGCCGTCCCTGTTCAGTTTGCAAGACTCAGTCAGCACTGATTCTCAGAGGGGCAGCTCTCCACTCTGATGGAACTCTGCCTGTGATGCCAGTTGACGAGGTATCCTCTACGCACATTATCTCATTTAATTCTGAGATAATGAATGGAATGGTATGGTGACAGTGGCTCTGCATGGTATGCATTTTTATGATCATTCCCTTTTGCAGATGGGAAAACTGAGCCTCAAAGAGGTAACGTAGCTTATCAAGGTCACATGGTTAATAAGTTTCAGAGCCTAGATTGATTCTGGATTCCAGAATCTGCATGCCTAACCACTATGCAATGCATCCTCTGCCATCCTGCCCGTACTTCTAGAGTGCTGGACAGGCCAGGCCTATCCCTGAAGGAACTGCTCTGGGGCCTGACCTGCCCCCAGTCCATCCAAACGTTCTGTTGAGGTCAGGCCTGGGCACTGTTGGGGACAGGAGTTGAGGTCAGCATGGCCCTGCCTTATTTACAGAGTGACTGATAGAGGAAACAGCATTACCTCTGCCCCCAGCCCAAATCCTCGCTGGACACAGACCTCTTGCTTCTGGCCTGGGCCTGAGACACCCATGTTAGGGATGGAGATGGCGACAGAACCATTCATTCATCTCACAGATGCTACTGTGAGCTAGATATGGTTCTTGCATTCATGCAACTTATTCGACTGATAAATAATCAAAAGTACACAGTGCTGTGGGAGCTGTATTCTTTATCACTTACATTTTTTATCATTCCCATCACCTTATCTATAGCACGTGTTCTCCAAATTAAACAAATTTAACACTACTTCAGGAACACTGTGGGCCCACCACAGTGAGATACTACTGCTCAGCATAGACATTCTATTAGCTCAAAAACTAAAATTTATCAGTGTGTTCCTGGGACCTCTGCCTCCTCTCTTCCCAACCTTTTTAACTTGGGGGGCTCAGGTGAAAAAGAATCTTGGGTCTGAGGGCTGAAGAGTCAATTTTTCTTGGATGTAGGGCAAGCTGGGGGCTGATGGAGGCTGATTGCAGAAAGGGGGATAAGCCTTGAGACCTCTTGAATCAGTGATCAGAGTCCCTTGCCACCACATACAAGCCGCCCTTGCTGGCCATCTCCCTGGGGGGGTGGACAGGAATGGGGACAGAAGATCACAATTGTCCCTTCTCTGGACAAAGCAGTAGCCATGCGCTATCCTGCTGGACTCTGTGTCTGGGAGTTTATACAACTAAGATCTTCAAAGAAAAGATTGTCCAATGTTAGATTGGACTTAAATATTATCTAAGCCCTTCACTGAACAGATTAAAGAAATTTAAAAATTAATGGGGAAGGGAAGGCACCACGAGAGTCACAGAGCATGGAAGTGGGTTCCAGGTCTCCGACGCCTCTGCTTCACTCTGAGCACGCCAGGCAAACTCATCCTCCTTGCGCCATGGCTCAGTATTCTATATTTAATAACAATCTCTTCCCAGCCCACTCTTCTGGGATGGCGAATGTGTGCTTGTGAAGGTTGTCTGGGAGATGCAGATGGCCACATTAGCATCAGAGGGAGGGAGAGAAGGAAGGCCCAGATTCATCCCTAAAAATATCTACATCTCAGACTGGAAGCAATGGGTCTCGGCAGCACCACGCATGCCTCCCCGGAAAGAACTCCAGCTGGTGATCTCCATCATCATTGTTTATCCACCTGATGGCATCCTGCAGGGGCTGGAGGAGTGGTGTGTCAGGCCTGGCTTCTTTTTATTTCCAGCCGAGCAGTTGGCTTGAAGAAAGGTCAGAGTTGAACTAAGTAGATTCCCAATGCAGAGATTTCCTGCAGAGAAGTCCAAGTGGGTCTCACATCGTTGGAATGGCAGGGGAAGGAGTGACCACCTGTGCCTCCTCCTCCAAATGAAAAAGGATCTGTGCCCTCGGACCCCTTCCTCACATGCATATGTTCCAGGAAGGGGTAAAACAGTGAGTGTGGTCTCACCAGCTTTCTCCCCAAGCCGCTATCAAAGGGCTTCAGTCTTTCAGAAGGAAGAGGAAGGCCGATATCTGTACAGTCTGGTGACCTCGTTAGATGATGAGAAAACGCTGATTGGCCCCAGTCCACCTTGGGAGCTATCTTTGGAGAAGGGTTTTCTAAGGAAGTGGAAACATTTCTACCTCCCTCAAACAGGCTCAGGAGTGTGCGAGAAGCAAGGTCACTGGGGCCTTGTTCCAGCCCCTTATCATCCCGATAGGCCTCAAAATGCACCATTTTTCATGGATAAGACATATATAAAAGTTTTCAAGGTCTCTAGGAACTCATCAAGCCTACCACACATTCAGTGCGCTTTCCAGAGACAGTTTGGAGAAAAACTGGCACATGTCAAAATCAATAACGCCCTCAGAGCCACTGCAGCACTTTGGGGAATATGTGTATTTGGCTGCAATGATAGGAAGGTCAGTGCTGGAGAGATGAGGCCACAGGCAGGAGGTGATGTAGCAACCAGAGCAAATAGAGAGCGGGTGTGCAGAGGAGAGGGGAAGAGACACAGGGTCATGAAAGTAGTCTGGCCCCGGCTCCAAACAGTCTGGGGAGAGGCAGAGGTACATACACACATACTCAGAGCCAACTGTGAAATCTGAGGGCACAATTCTGGTCTCTTGAGACTCAGAAGTCTAACCAATACCACCAAACCCACTATACCCTCATGGCAGGCTGGGCCATACCTGCTGCCCAGGCAGACTCTTGTTCATGCAAACCTAAAGCCCATTCTAGGACACACTGCTGTTATTGAATGAAACGCCCAAAACCTCCACAGGGTAGGGGCAAGGACGGGGACACTCTTTTCTGTTCTAGCCCATGGAGGGGACTCACTCAGGTTCAACTGTCTATCCATCCAACATATATCCACCCCACAAATATATACAATGCAGTTATTCTAAGAGGCATCATAGCCAAGTAGTTAGGAGCACAAACTCTGAAGTCAAGATGCCTGAGTTTGAATCCCAGCTCTGCCACTTATTAACTGGGTGACCTTGGGCGATACTTAACCTCTCTGTACAGCAGGTTCCTCGCCTGTAATGGGGAATAGTAATAGCAAAGACACATGTGTGCTTCGAACACATATACATAGTAAATAATATGCATGGGTTTTGATTAAAATAATTTGGCGTCTAGTGTCAAGAAGTGGGTAGAGAACTAGAGTCTCTAAGAGGCACCATTATGAACAACTCCAGATCAGGGACATGGCCACTCCCAGCACTACACTTGTGTGTGTATCTCTCAGCCACACTTTAAGGTGGATAATTGTCATCCACACCTTAGAGGTGAAAAAATGGAATCTTGGAGAAGTGAAGTCACTCGCCCAGAGTCTCCCAGGTGCTGGCATATGACAGGGTGAATCTAACTGGCTGACTCTCTACTCCTGGCTACAAGACTGGACGTAGCACCCAGGCCCGGCCACACATAGCCCCAGGGGTGACTGGTCCAACAGACACGTATAGGGTCCAAGCAGATTTCTTCTTCAGGACCAGTGTATATGTAGCATGAGAGAAGCTCTCTGTCCCTGGAAGCCAGGGCTACCAGTAGTCCCACATGCAGTGGAGGAGATCTGACTACAATAGGAAAGAAAGAGACTCCTCTGACTGAAGAAGTAAAGCTCCAGCGATTCTTTGCAATTCTCTTGACTCCACCCTCCTCTGTGTTGGTTTTGTCTTCAGGCTGGTTTTCCTTACTGTAGCCAGTGCCAAAACAGCTCTCAGTGCCAGAAGCTACCTTATCCAAAAAAGAACATTTCTGACCCAGCATTCCAAGCAGGAGTCCTGAGATCCACTCTGATTGGATTGGGTCACA